ACTATAAAAAGAAAACTCCAAAAAAAAGAACAATTTTTAGTAAAAAAATTATTATTATTTTACTTTAAGAACATTGGGATATTGGAATGCTTCCACTAATTTTTTTTAACCAAATCTAGTAGTAAATTGAGTGCATATTATAATGGTCGGTAAGAAATCTTTGTCACGTTGTAAAAAGATATGAGTAAAATTAAATGAAAATAATGAGCATGTAATTATGGAAAACCCACCTGAAAATGCTGAGTTAGAAATAGATTAATAAAATAAAATATTTTAAGATTTACACATAATTGTTGTAATTCTTTTCTATTATTCATCCATAAATTTGAAGATATAATACCCCAAAATGTTATGACCCTTCTTCTCAACACTCAACATACAGCCCAAATGGTTATATCAAAATTACACCCTTTTTTTTTTTCCTTATTTATTTTTTATTTTTAATGACATCACAATAGTTTTAGAATATTTTAGAGTTTAATTTTGAAAATATCAAAACATAAAAAAAAACTATAATCATTTAACTTTGAACATGATTAATAAGATTTATTTAATTTTATGTGAATAGATTATTAACATAATTGAAAGTAATCAAGTTTTTTAATTTTTTAAAATTTAAGAAACAAACAGAAACAAATAATTCAATTACAAAATTTCAGAAAAAATATATTTCAACGAAGTTGCCGAGACAAATTATACTGTTGGAGTGATATCATTCTTTAGTTCATCTTCATTTTCTCGGATTCTCTTAAACTTCTTAATAGTTCAACCTATAATTTGAATTTTGATGAAGTGTTTGTTAAAAACTTGAGACGAGAAATGAGCCTTTCATATAACATGCTAGAAAAGAATAATAATTATATGTGACCTTCTCACATCAATTGGAGAAGGTAACAAGGTCAGCAAGGACGTTGGTCTCGAAAATGGTAGAATATGAGATCCCACACTGATTGGAGAGGACAATGAAATATTTATTTATAAGGGTGTAGAAACTTATTCCTTAATGAAGCTTGAAAGAGAACAAAAAAGGACCATATAAAATCTAATTTATGGAGTTCAGTAAAATGAGCTCCTCAACTCTACATTATCTATGGGGGCACTTTCTCTCTTCGGTGGTGGCCCGTATTAAAGTAGAATTGTGTTAGATAAAAGACTTAATTTCTGTTCGCATTCCTGAGGTTGCGCACAGTCATTACTAGCCGCTGCCTTTCACCTTCCACCTCTGCAAATCTAAGACTTATCTCTGAATATCTCTCCTGCATATCCTTCACTTCACTCTCCATTGTTTCCAATTTTTCCTCATAACTCTCTCTCACGGACCGTATCTCTTCATTTGCATTCTGGAGAGCTTCCTCCAAGCGACTTCTCTGTGACCGAACCTCACTCGCTTCCGCCACCGCTTTCATAGCCACCTTCTCATTTGCCTCAAATGCACACACCATCTGCTTCGACACTCTTCCAAATTCCCCCTGAACCCTTTCTGCAGTACGAGCATTTCTCGACCTCAATTTTCTCAAAGCTTCTTCAGCTCGGATCGCCCTTTGCTCTTGCTCAACCTTGGACAGGATCATTGCCTCTAACTCCGCTTCGAAATCTTCCCCCTGCTTCTCAAGTTCTTCCTCCAAACTTCTGCCATGGGATTCAAGCTCCCTGATTGCATCTAAAGCATCAGAATATTCAGCCTTCTTGGAATTTAACTCGGTGTAAAGATCTGATATTTCGCAGTTCTTCTCGTCCAGTATCTCCTCAAGATCTTGTACTGTTAATATCAACTTGGTGTTTGATTCCTGCGTTTTCTGTACCTGTAACCGGAGATTGCCATTCAAGTCTTTCTCATAATTCAGTTCTTGTCTCATTTCTTCTAAGACAGCCCGCAGATCGTCCGTTGTTAAGATATGATCAGATTGAGTCGACCACTTCCATGCCAATGTCTGATCCTCTTCATGTGAAGTTGGTTTGCGAGAGACCGGGGCGTGGCTTAATGGTGAAACGAAGCCATTAGGTTGCTGATGGATGTTTTTCGTAATCCCATTTTCTATTGGACTGTCAAGTCCAGAGCTGCTTTCAGAACTTGATAACTCACCATTTACTTCACCATTCTTTTCAGCTTCATCACTTAATCCATCCTGCAAAATAAAGAGGAGAGAGATTTGACTCAAAATAACATTGACCCAAGCTTACCGCTAGTAGATATTGTCAGTTTTAGCCCGTTACGTATCGTCGTCAGCCTCACGATTTTGAAACACGTCTACTAAGGAGTTTCCACCCCCTTATAAGAATGTTTCGTTTCTCCCTCCATCCAATGTGGGATCTCACAATCCACCCCCTTGAGGCAAGCGTCCTCGCTGGCACACCGCCTGGTGTCTGGCTCTGATATCATTTGTAACAGCTCAAGCTCATCACTAGTAGATATTTATTCGTTTTAGCCCGTTATGTATCGCCGTCAGCCTCATGGTTTAAAACGCGTCTATGAGGGAGAGGTTTCCACATCCTTATAAGGAATGTTTCGTTCTCCTCTCCAACCGACGTGGGATTTCACACTATTCTTGTGGATTGGACCATTTCAATAATTTGAATCAAACCTTAGCTGAATGTAAATGATGGGGAAAAAAGCGAACAAGAAAAGAAAACGCAGTTTTGGCGTACTGGGGAGGAAATCTTACTTCAGTGTAATTGTTCTTGTTTATATACTCATTGTTCAAGTAGCTGCTTAAGCTCTCATGTTGAGATCTACTTTTTAAACCTTCAAATTCTTCCAAATCTCTGGAAAAAAAAATTCCCAAACAGAGCAGATTTAGCCCCCATGTTCTATAAGAAAACAGTCAAGAAACTTATAAACTCTAATTCACCATCTTATTATCTACCTTTGCTCGCCATCTTCCTGAATCCTCTGTATCCAAATCTGTATAGCACAAGAAACTTCAAAGCTTATGTTTATGAACAAATAAGAACAGAGAGAGACAGAGAGATAAACAAACTAACATGCAAAACAGCAGAATTCGAATTCTGGAGGGGAAGAGAGGCAGAGAAAGGCTTAGTGGCCTCAGCATATTTAGCAAAATCAATAGAAACATCACCAAGTAAACCAGGTCTGGTCAATCCCTGTACAAAACCCACAAATAATATCTAAAAACAACAGCACATTTCGTCGAACACATTGAAAGAAAAAAGAATCCAGCCAAGCTTCATACCGTGGAGACTCGAAAATGGAGAAGTTTCTCAATGAACTTTCCAGTTTTTTGGTCTGCATCGAACTTCACTGTTACATAAGCAGCATTCTCCCACCGACATTTTCCTCCTCGCACTGTGGCCTTTTCCAGTCTCAGCGTCGGCTTTCCCACATCACCAGGAACCACAGATATCATCAACGAATCCCCACCAAATTCCGGTATCTGAAATCACAAACAGTTAATCCAAACAATGAACTAAACACTATTTTGTTTTCCCATTTGCTACATTTTTCCAGAAACCAAATCGAACTCAATCAAAATGAAAATTCCAATACGATCGGAACCCGAAAACCCTGAATCCCAAACGACCTGAGTGGCACAGAACCGCAATTTGAACTCGGCCTTGATCCTGTTCTTCTCACTCCTCCACCTTGCCGACTTGAACATCTTCGCCAATCTTCAAGCTCACCGGAAAACTTCACTCGCCGGAGCTCCAGCCATTTGCTGGAAACAGCAACATTCGAGTCACCCCCAGATGGGTTCAGCTCAATTCAACGGAATCAGTTGGCATTGCCAAAACAAGAGCAGACAATGAAGAAAAGTCAACTGAAGAACAAGTAGAGGCTCGAATGACGAGGAAGAAGAAGAGAAGCCGGTAAGACATGGAAGACGGGAAGAGTTGCATAGGAAATAGAGAATAGACGCTTGGTAAAGAAACAGAGCAGCAGATCTAAAGGACTTTATTTGCCAGAGTGCATTTGGAAAGAGCGGCGAGTGACACGTGGAAAAAGAAAATAAAGAAAGGGAATTAAAGGCATTTTGAGGATAAGATTTACTCAACTAATTATATAATATAATTTCAAATTGTTAATAAATAAAAGAAAATATTTTAAAAACTAGATTCATATCTATTTTTACCCAAAAAAAATTGCAACTTTATACTTTTTTTTTTCTTTTTCTTTTTCCATTTATCCAACAAGTAAGCCTTACGCAACCATGCATGCAAGTGGTTTGAAAATGAAATGGATTAAATTCGAGATTTAATCTTAAATTTTTAAATGTTTCATTTAATTTTCAATTTTATATTTAAATTTTTTTAAAAATTCAATCTTATTAGATACAAATTTAAAAGTTTTCAAATCATATTAGACATAAAATTCAATTTTATAATAAATATAGACCTATTACAACATAATTTACAACATAATAAGAGTTCGATTAAATTAAATTTGACTTCTTAAGGATTATCAGAGTTACCAAAATACTCTTATTATAATTATTGTTATATACATTTAAAAGTATCTTAAATTTTCTTCTAAAAAAGAGGGGTATTATTGGATTGAACCTAATTTCTTAATCTATGTTGGGGATTTGGTAGCATAAAGATAAGGTTCATAAAGATGCATTAATGAATGAGAGATTAAAGTAGAACAAACTTAATAAACTAAGGCTCCCTTAGTCCCATAACTTATACAAAAACGTCCCTACACATTTATCCTTTAAATAAATAAGCCGTTATTATTGTCAACCTTATTAATATTTATAAAAAGGGAAAAAGTAGTCAGTTTAATTTAAATGAATGAATATAGGAAATGGTGTGATGAATAGGAGTCACATTTATATATAAATAAATAGTCAGAGGAAACACTAAGATAAATAAATAAAAATAGATGAGAAGGAAAGATGGATAGTTTCATGGAGGTGGGTTGGAGAGGAACATGAAGTGGGAACCATTGGGAAAGATGATAGCAATTGTCAATTGCTGGATGGTCCCTTTCACCAACTTACTACCCAATCTATAGATCTAAAATCAACCACTCAGGTAGAACCTTCTACTTCTTATAGTAGACATGTTTTAACCACGGAAATATGCGGAGCCTACGACTTTTTAGAAAAACTAAGATATCTTATATTACCCAATGTGGAACTTTCGAAATGTTCAATTTAGTCCTTGAATTGAACATGATTTCGAGCCATACAGATTCAAGTCATACAGATTAGAGATGTTCATTGAACAAGTAGATATAAGATCGAAAAAATAACCCAACAAAACAAACTTAAATAAAATTTAGGGATAAAAATAGAGCAAACGCCAAAATAGAACAAACTTAGGAGTTATAAAGACCCAGACTTGAGTAAAAGAGGGCAAAAGGCTCTGTTTCAAGGCTTATCATGAAGCTAATATATCAAACTCAAGGATGATGATGGTCTCTTTCAATGAAAGATGAAGATTATTACACCCTATTTTGGGTACACCAAAACACATTAAAATTTCAACCTAAAATTTGACATGAAATGAAAAAAGGTCCAATGGCAAAACCCAAAAGATATGATACTTCACCAAATATTATATTCTTCGAGTTCTAATAATGAATTAACCTTTTATTGGTAGCTCAGGGCTCTGTGTTTCCTTATGGAGTTTTCTTTACATTTCCATTCCTCTTTGTTCTATGTGGCCTCATATGACGTTAAATAAAGGTGTGAGTGAAAGAAAATCCATGGCGTCTTAGATCAAAATAACCTTAGATTCCTTAAGAGCAACCCTTTATTGCTGTTGATTCCATGACATGTGAACCATATTGTTTTTCCTTTGTTCTTTTAAGAACACCGACCTATTTTATTGACTTCAACCATTTATAGCATCAAAAAAAGAACAGGAATCAGATCTCGAGGAACTTTGCACAGTTCTTTACATCTAAATAGCCTGTCTTACTAGTTAGCTTGTGGATCTAAAAAGATGATAAGGGCAGCATATCTTTCTTTTTCATACCCCATTTTTTTCTTTGGTTTACTATTTATCTCTGTTCTCATTTCCAGGCTTTCATGTTTATAACCTACTAAGAACTGAGTGGTGACAAACGAGAGAAAGCTGGAAGATGATAATTTTCAATGTGTGTGGAAATGATTGTTTATAAGAAGAGAGACTGAAAGACAGAGTGATCAGAGAAGGGGTCCCAAAGAAACTTACTGGTGAGCTATCTCAGTCACTCCCGTCTGGATTTGTTTTTGACCCTTTTTGCTTCCATCTGAAGAGAGAAAAATGTTGAGACAGATTTATCATAAATGCCAGCCAAGAAAATTACAACACAACATGCTGACCAAACAGAAAGCGGCAGAGAAAGAGAGAAGATAAAATATCTACTGAAAACAACAGCAATTAAATAAAGAATTTAGAGCTTTGACAGCCAGAAAGTGTACACCTCACGTGGAAATCAATCAAAACTTTAGGGCATATTTGAGAATGAAGTTGAAATGATCAAAAGATCACTCCAAAATATTCATTTAATTATTCAAAATCAATTTTGACGATGTGAAAATCACATTAAAACTGTAAAACCAAACGCTCAAATAATTTGAAGGATTAAATATCCCTTTTGAAGTGATTTTCAGTATGACAAAAACTATTAGAACCATTTTAAAATCACTCCCAGAACATGCCCTTTTACTTGTTCTAGAATAGGGGTCTCTGAGGAACTAAGAATTCGTTGAAATATCATAATCCATCTGCAGAAACATCGTTTGAGGAGTTACAAAAAAAGAAATATAGGAATTCAGTGTAGCAGAGACTTTTTTGGCGTGCACCATGTGTAGAAGAACAATCGATGAGAAAATGGAAGAAAACAAGAGAACTTACACACCATGGGTATACCTTTCTTTGTTTTGATCACAGGCACGACCTGCAGAAATAAAATGAAAACAAACTTCACACAAAATTTTGAACGTTTCGTAGATTTATAGAAACCCACCTCGGCAACAATGCCCCTCATTTGATACTGCGAGGTATAGAGGTAATCTAGCATATCCATTCTCTTCTTCTTCAGAAATATTGTTCTTCGCTTTGAGCAGGCATACCTGTTCAAAAACCTTTCTACGAACAATTGAAGAAAAACCATGTGAATTTAAAAATCTTGGGCAATGCATCATAGAAATAGATTGGAAATTTCAATTTGAAAGGCTTGAACCTTCTCTCTTCCCTAAATTGGTACTTGGGCTGTGCTCTACCGTAGCAGAAATGTGGGTTTGGCAAGGAAATAGAAGCCATGCACATATCAACTCTTCTGAAATCAAATAAACTTGAAATAACAGAATGTAAAAGTTCACTTTGTAATAAACTTCTCATGTCATATATTTAGTTTGATTGAACTTAACTCTTATATTTCCACTGTTAATTGAAGTAAAAGCAGAGACATACACTAAAGTAGCATAGGGACACTTAATTCTATGGCGATATCATGAAAAGAAAGTAAAATATAAAACAGCAATACATCAAACAGAAGGGATGGAAAATGCTATCTACAGAGTCCATTAACATAACTATATATTGTTGCATCTCACCCTACAGATAACCTTATAAGCATAGGGTTCTCTAATTTTTGAAGAGCTCGGGAAGATGAGCATTGGTGAGCTTAGTCCTCTTGCTGATATCTTGCTTCTTTTCCTTGGGCTTCGGCTTCAAGGATGCTATGTGTTGTGCATTGGCTCGCCTCTTTGCAGTGTTGGTTGCAGGTTTCATCAGCATGTCGCGAGGTAATTCAATCTCCTGAAAAAGTTGCTTCAGATCGTCATCTACCTTGATTTGAATTCTTGGGTCGTTTGGGTATGCGATATCTTCTTGTGAATCAAAGTTTGAGAGAAGCCAAAGCTGGCCTGAGGCTTTTAGGGCCTAAACAAGAGGGGGAAATACATTGTAAGCTGAAAAGTAAAGGTAATAGACTGTCATGTAGACCTCATTATATCATCTGGAAAATAATAAGTTTATACTCGGTTTCAGAGTGAAAAGTACAGCCACATGCTTTCAATTCATTATACAATTAAAGAAGTTGTAATAATATAAGGGCCAGTTCCGTCGAAACAAAACTTCATAGAGTTTGGGAGGCCAAAAAATGATGATCAACAATCATGGAATCAAAACATTTAATTTTTGAAGAAACACAAACTCCAAGCCGTTCCTCCTACTGCATCGGAATATTATACTTATTAATATCATTAACAAAGAGTTAGAGGTTTGAATCCCCACCTCCACATATAATTGAACTAAAAAAAATCATCAATCATTAGCTACTAAAGAAAGTTGTTTCTTGTAACACTCTCAAGCTACCTCTTCATTAGACAAATCAAAACACGATAAATTGATGACTTTAATATACATTGCATTTATATATCAAATATAACTGAGAATCCTGATCCCAATCCCCAAGAGTTTCTTGAACTAACCTCCTGAGTATTTAGAATTACAAACTAACTATAATTCCTATTATTGTGCAAATCAAATAAATAACCTCAAAAGCAAAAAAGTTAAAAATACATTTGATGTCCAAAATTGCTCATGCATTTAACTCCATAAAAGTTGTTGCCGAAGCAGTTCAATAAGGATAGCATCATCATTGATATATTGCACATTTTTTCATTCAGAACAGAAAAGGCATAAAAAAAACAATCTCAAATATACATACATGCAAATCTTCCATTACGTTTGGATAAGAGTCCTTGAGATCAATAACAGCAATGCCTTCTGGAAATTTCCGTATCAAGTAAAGTTGATTCTTATCCTTCAGATTGTGCTTGGACTGAATAGACGAAAAACAGCAAAAAGAGAAGGAAAAAAAATGTCATACGACATTGAAGGTTCAAACATTTAAACCAAACAAGTACAAATTCGTGCAAATTACACATGTGTTTGAGAATATAATTACCTTGTACGAGAAACGCCTCCCATCATAGTGCACCTTTAGGTTATTCCGTAGACTATCAAAAACGGCTTTGTTTGAATTAATATCAACATAACATGCTTCACTGATTTGCAGTGGGGTAAGGGCTTGCCTTGTCTGTTAACATGCAAATAAGCATGCTGAAAGATTGAAACATACCCTTAAGGTTCCAATTCACAAACAGGAAAAGAGAAAATGCATTTCAGAAAAGAATTTCTTTTAAGCTCTTACAGTCAATTCAAAACCATGAGAAAGAGGGGTGAGGGGATTAACATATGTAATTTACATGTAAAAACACATTTATTCACTAACACAAGTAGTGAAGAGGATCCTAATGACAATCACAAGTCCCACTAGCTGAAGAGTTCCTCTTTCTATGAGGCCAGCCAAATCTCCAGGTTAAAAATTCATCCATTAAAAAGAACATATTGAAGTCGGTAAAACTTGGACAAATTAACAACAAGAAATAAGTGAAACTAAGGAAGCTCTGTGAACATTTCGAATCAATACGTGGTGAATTGCATCCTATCCTACATAGCCTTCCATAGAAGACTTCGATCAAACAAAAGAAACCTTGTAAAACAATCGAAATAAAAAGAACAAAACAGGAGGAAAAGGATGTAAACCTCCAGCAGCAGGTCGATAACCCTCTTGACTGAGCCCCAAACTGGGGATTTTCTTATGCTGTTAATATGTTGGAAGTCTCTCAGTATCATTTGAAAATTTTACAGCAGGAGGCGGAGGTCTTGCAATGGAAGAAGGCGGTGGAGGCGTAAACTTAGGAGTAGACTTGGATGCAGCAATGCCAGTCAAGGTAGTCTGACATCTCTCTTGCTGTTTCTTAAACCTATCTAGTTTTTCTTGCAAAGCCATCCAATCCCCTTAAGCACGTTTCAAGTATCAACCCTAACAATCAAAACAACGATACAGATGAAAATAGACGCAACCAATAAAACCAATTTGAAAGGCATCAAGTCCAACCCACGACTTAAAATGCCCACAAAAGAAGAAGGGAGTAACTAGAATACCACAAAATCGACCGCCGTGGATAAAGACGACGGTGGGGTCGGGGGTCGACGTTTGATAACCTGCAGTATACATAATCAAGCCGACTGTTGAATCGAGTTCAGTGTATGAAGCTATGGAGGCTGGAATGGGGAAAGCGCGGAAGAGAGGGAAATCGGAGTTGGATATGGCGACGGCCTAATAAGAGTTTTTTCTTTTTTCTTTTTAAAACAAATTATCATGTCAGGACTAATAAAGCCACATCATCAATTGATTGGAATTTAAAACAAGTCCAATCAGCATCCTAGTCAGCATTTCATTAAGTCATTAATGGCTGTGTTATCTCGAGCACTAAGATTCAGCATTCTTAAAATTACTATTTTACCCTTAATTTTTATTACTATTTTCTTAATGAATGATATTCTAGGCACAATTTTATATACTTGCTTGAAATTTTACATCCTTTAAATTTCAATTTACATTTTGCTAAATCTGAAAATCTTGGTATTAATAATTTTAAAAAAAAATAGTTGTATTCGTCCAATCAAAACATTTTCTAGACTTTTTCCTCAAACATATGATCTTGATCATATATTTGTATATAAATAATAATTTTGGAGTTAGAAAACAAGATGAAGATCATATATTTGTTGCAGATAAATCAAAACAAGGAATAAAATTACATACAGAAAACAATTATATCGTAAATATAATAAGTTGCTTAAGATGTTTGTTTCCTCATTACCAAGGCAGTCGATCTTCAAGACAATAAAATCACATTCTTGCTCATACCAAACAAATAGTAATTAACCGTTCAAAGAGAGGAACAAAATTTAAATTTGTAAGATCCCCATATGCTAAATGAAAGGAAAACTTAATCAAACTGCTAGCTCATTCCACTGAAAATTCATTAAACTGCTCGTAAGACCATATTTTTCAAGGAAGATTTGAGCTTGCTCCAGCTCCTCCGCCATAGCTACCAGCTCCACGGCCAAAACCCGGTCTTCCACCAGGACCCTGATAAATTTTTAAGTATAAGACAACAATCAACGAAACCATCGAAGAACTCACAAACGACTCTCATAGAGTTGCCAAGTCGTTCAAAATATAACTTCTGCACCTATCCAATGACATCTCTAACATTTCAGCTAATAATTTTTCTATTAACTCTCATTCTTTGATGAAACAGAGTAGCCACAAGCCCCCAATTCTTTGAATATGCCTAATCAACACAGGTAAACCCCACATTGAAATCATTAATCTTTTTCAGATGAGCCCAAGAATATTTTATTAACAAAGACCATGACATGCAAATGCCACAAGAAGCTATGAATTAACATCATAATCTGAGTTATTAGCAGAGCAAACTAACTGAGTAGGGAGCACTTATGAAGGAAAACATGAACAGATGAAGGAACTAAACTATTACAATATGATGCTTCCCATCAACTCTTGACCCCTGGTGCGCAGGGCTCACTTACAAAAATTCTTGCTAGATACATGAACAATGATTGTAATGCATTTTATATCTATCATAAAGAATCATCCCAAGGGCAGATCAAAACAAGGAAATAGCAACATTCTTATATAGAGAGCATCAACCATATTATGTATAGCACTATGATGATGCAAAATGGATGATTCAAAGATTACCCCAAAAGAAGGCCTGTAATCTGCTGGAGCTCCTCCCTTGTCACCACCAAATTCACCAGCAGGTCCACGAGGACCTCCACGGTAGCCATCACGGTCACCAAACCTCCTCTCACCTCCCTCAAAACGAGGTGGACCCCTAATTCATATAATCACCAAAACTCAATCAGAATACTAATATGGGTAAATACAACTTACTAAATAACATAGCCCTCGCATTATACAATCACATATTACATACACCTCCATCTATAAACCTAGAACAGTAACGAAAAAACTTCATAATCCATAGTTCCAAAGCACAAATAAATCAACCATAACCTTAATGAATTGATCAGCATTACAGACATATCTTACCGTGGGCGATCCCCGGGTGGTCCGCCAAAGGGCCTGCCAGCAGGCTTGGCTTGTTTCTTCAAGGTAGCAGGGACAATTTCAGAAGGAAGGTTGAGGTAAGTCCTGAGGAACTCAATGCCATCATTGGTAAGGTACCAGTAGTAATGCATCCAAGCAAATGTCTCGCGCACATATTCCTTGGACTTGAAGCTCTGCATTAGCTTAATAACCTGCAAATTGGGCACATCGATTTCTGGGTGCTTGGCCAAATTGTAGTCCTTCTTGGCATAACAAACCCCCTCTGAATCGCCAACAACAACGAATAAATAAAATCGCGAAATCATCGTCAAATCAGAAATAACCCTCGTCTAAGAGGGATTGAATTAAAGTGTACCTTGAAAGAGGTACTTGGAGATCTCCCTACGGTTCTTCTCTGAAATAATCTGAAGAAAAGAAACAAATGAACATGAGAGACTGAACACGAGGAAAATAATTCTTCGAACGAAAGAGAACTCAACCCACTACATCAATTCAAAATACACAAACAGGGAAACAATTCCCACTGCCAGATTGATTCCTTTCAAAAATCAATTCATTTTAAAACACCACACAACCTTGGAACGAGAATAAGAAGAAAAAAAAAAAAAAAAAGGACATAAATCAGTCGCTATGAAAGAAGAAGAAGAGAAATACCATGGTTGAAGTTCAGAAAGAACTGAAACGGCAGTAGTAGAAGCGAGAGGCGTGAAGATTGAGAAGAATGAGAAGAATGAAGCGTAAAAAGAGACGGAGTTAGGGTTTGTGGGTGTCGAGTGGGCCGCTGGGCTGCGTAGGATGAGCTCGCTAGATTGGGCCGCGTAGGATGAGCTCGCTAGATTGGGCCGCGTAGGATGAGCTCGCTAGATTGGGCCGCGTAGGATGAGCTCGCTAGATTGGGCTGCGTGGGATGAGCTCGCTAGATTGGGCCGCGTAGGATGAGCTCGCTAGATTGGGCTGCGTAGGATGAGCTCGCTAGATTGGGCCGCGGAGGATGAGCTCGCTAGATTGGGCTGCTACAGGTTCGAGTTGGGCTTTGAGAAATATATAAACACACACACGTGTGATTTTCCCATTTTAGGCTGCTGCAGCTCTGTGGGGTAATATTCAAATTTACAGAAGATATGGACCTATTTTGAAATTAATATCATAATATTGAGGCCGAAAAGGTCTTCAAAGAAAAAGAAAAAAACGCGGTTTGTCCAAACTTTTGTGAATACGTAAATATGTGTGTGTGATAATAAAAAGTTGGGATCCTTTCCACAATATTTCAATTTCATAAACAGTCCACACCAAAAGTGTATTTCTTTTATTTTTATATTATAGAATTAAATCAACACTTTCTTACTTACTTTAACATACAAATATTTAATTACTTACAAGTACATGAGTTAAAGAATATATTATTTAGGGGGGCGTTAATTAAATTATTCATTAAATTATTTAAGGCTTAAAATGGAGGAGGAGGAGGAGGAGGAGGAGGAGGAGGAGGAGGGAGAAACTGACGGTGACGGGGAGGCGGTTAGAGAAAGAGAGAGGAGAATTGTGGCGAGGCGTGGGACGTGGAGCCTGGTCAAATGCCCTCTTGACTTTTTCCTCTGTTTTGTATTTTTTATTTTAAATTACATTCCAATTCTAACCCCTGACTCAGATTCTCCATAGGGCGCGCCTTTACCTCTCTATTCGACTCGGCTCGGCTGACTATTGTAATAATGCAATAATAATATTAATATTTCTAAAAAGAGCTTCACGGCTACCAAGCGTCCAAGCCTGGGGTATAATGGTGAAGGTAAAGGGCAATTCCGGAAAACAACACTCTCCGGTCACCCGTACAAGGCGTCGCCTAAAACCTCGGTCCCAAATATATAAAAATAAAAATAATAACAAACCGTAACTTCATCATTCCCTTCTCATTTTCAAATCCCTTTTCTTCTTCTTCTTCCTCTCTAAAATCTCTGCAACTATGCCGGCAACGGAACAGCCCAGCTCCTTCCTTGGCCGTATCAGCACCCGCCGAAACCAAGTCATCTCCATGGACGGTGCTCACGAGCAGGAGCTCGAGGATCTCGAGCTCTTTCAGAAGCAAGTTTCCGAGCGATTTTCCGAATTAGTACCTCCGTCCTCCTCCGACGACGTTTCTTCCGAAACTTTCCTCTCCATCGCCTGGCTCAGGAAGCTCCTTGACGAATTCCTCTGCTGCGAGGCTCAATTTAAGGCTCTCCTCATCATGGGCCGCGATCCCTCTCAGATTGTCAAGCCGCCGCTCGACCGTCTCGTCCCCGAGTTTCTAGATCGCGTCGTCAAGGCTTTGGATATCTGTAATGCCGTTCTCCACGGGATTGAATCGGTTCGCCAGTTTCAAAAACTCGCCCAAATCGCGATTTCAGCTCTGGAGCAGAGTCCGATTGGAGACGGACAAGTGAAACGGGCGCGTAGGGCTTTGAATACCTTGATTACGTCCATGGCCGTTGAGGATAAGGATTTCTCCAACAGTAAATCCGCAGAGAGATCTTGGTCTTTCGGGCGTCGGGGAGGTGCCGGTGCCGGTTCCGGCACCGCCACTCCGCTGCATAAGGACCGAATCGCAGGACAGTTTCGTTCGCTCTCTTGGAGTATGGCGAAAGGTTGGTCAGCGGCGAAGCAGATTCAAGCTATGTCGTCTAATCTGGTTGTGCCACGCGGCGGCGAGTCATCGAGTTTACCGCAGACGGTTTACTTGATGAGTACGGTTTTGGTGTTCGTAATGTGGACTCTGGTTGCGGCGCTGCCGTGCCAGGAGAGAGGCGGCCTGACGACGTACTTTCCGGTGTCGAAGCAGATTAGCTGGGCGCAATCCATGATCGGACTGCAGGAGAAAATCGCGGACGAGTGGAAGAAGAAAGAGAAGAAAGGAAGCGCTGGTCTGTTGGAAGAGATGCAGAGGATGGAGAAACTGAGTCAATCACTGATCGAATTCACTGATTCGTTCGCGTTCCCGTTGGAGGCGGAGCGGCAGGCGGAGGTGACAGAACAGGTGGCGGAGCTGGCAGAAACCTGCAAGAAACTGGAAGATGGATTGGTGCCATTACAGCAACAAATCAGAGAAGTTTTCCATAGGGTTGTGAGAAGCAGAACAGAGATTGTTGAGCTTTTGGAGTACACTGCAAAGGCATCTTCCCCAATTGTGTGAAACAAAACTGAAGAAGAGGAAGCCATTAACACGCCATGATCACTGGTAAAGGATCTTCTAAACTTGCAACCTTTTTCTTGTAGCAATCAGTCCCATGGTGGCTCCCATGTAGATTTTGTAAGACTTTTTATTTATTTATTTGTTTATTTATTTTTGCTCTTACAGTTTTAATTTCTTGCTGGGTGTTAGAAAATATTTAAGGTTAATCTGCAGATGTAATGGTGATGAATTTATATGGTTTATTAATGAAATTGAAATATCTAATTTCTGGGATTGTTGCATGACATGAATGCAACATCATGGTGACCATGTTTAAATTAAGATTTACTTTACTTTTACTTTTAATTATTGGATTGGGCTACGTCATATCACCAACATTAATGCTATAAATATGAGAGTTTAATTCGAGTAAGGCCCAAACTCTAATGCATTACAAAAGTGGCCCAACTATACTTATTATCCAAAACAACAACATTTATTCACGTCAAATTTTAGTTCCTCAAATATTTTTACTTTCGGCACACCTGCGAGTTGAGGCATGTGGAATTGTGAGAGATGATTAGAGGGTTTGACCTCGTGCTCACGAACGGTCCTCAACGACCCTAGAGAAAATTAAGGTAGGTCGGTTGTAACTAGTGTAGTGTTTGAAGTTTCTACTGCTGAGCTAGGCGTGAGGTCGATTAAGGATGGTGGTCTAAATGAGAGAGTTAGCTGGGCTACCCTACGCGCAGGATCCAACCTATGGGAGGACGTTGATCATGCAGCAGAGTTGGCACGTACAGAGAGTAGCGCCCTTGACCTTGGTCTATATTATGGCTTGTGGGATGAGTTCGCCAACTACCTCCTATGTCCCTACTTGTTAGTGAGAATGTTTTTTGAGGTAGTGCCTCAACACATCAGCTACCTCTATGTAGGTAGCTCTCGTGGTCTCCTACTACATCAAGGATGCGGCAAGAACCTACAAGTAGGTCCCTTTCTCCATTTTCTTTTTTCGGTGCATGATGATGCTGGTTGAGGAAGGGGGTGCATGGAAACTCAATAGTCACATAAGAAAGTCAATCGGTAGTGTTTGTTTAGTCACATGTTTTATTGTCATCATTTCAGTACACATCATATATCTCATTCTCTATGCCCTCTTTAAATGAGAAAACATACATATATACATGTTTTTTGTTTTACCTTGGTCGCGTAAATAATGTTGGTAAACTTTTAAATTCGTGCGAAATTTTGTTTTTTTTCATTGTCTTCTCATTCTTTCATTTTGCATTGTATATTCTATTAGTCACGATGCCTCTTGAAATTCAAAGTGATAATTTAAATTTGAAAGCTTTAAACTTAAAAGTCATCGAGTTTGATGTTTGTACTTTGTCAACTTTGAGCCAAATTGTCCTCCAATTGACCTTTTGAGTTCATTTAATCTTCAAAACAATTACTATATGACCTAATTTGGCCGGTTAGACTTACTCGATAAAATAATAAGACTTCTTGACATTATTTGAGATTTGTCATTTTTATTTCTTTAAATTTTGCTCGAGACCCACATGTCGATTTGTAATCCGTTCAAAATTTAATAATATGTAGTTTTATCATTAATTGAAAAATAACGATTTGACAATTTGTGATCGAACAAAATAATGAAACTAATTTAATAAACTATTTCGTCCTAAAAAAACAACTTAATTAACTAAAAACTAAATTAAATAATTGCCTCAGGAATCTAAATTCATTGATCCCATATCTTTTTTCTTGTTAAACTAACATTTTTTTTAAAATGTAGATCAATGTTTGATTTTCTTGTATTTAGTTTATATGGTCTCCATCCATCCCTAATTTAGTTTGACATATATTCATTAGATTTCTTGAAAGGAATTAACATTTATTAAGAGAGACCAATTATGAAGGTCTTTGTTTTAGGTTTTAAAGGTTTTTCTTTGAAATTGACTCCCCAACCACTGATATGATATCATAGACTATGTATTATTTTCACCTAATTGGCTTGAGAGGGCTCATCTTTGTTTTGGTTTAATACTCATAATCAAACCCCAACCCAATTTCCTTTGACCCATAAACCAACCTATACCGCACAAGTGTTTATATATTTTTCGATGATTATGATATTGCCTAATTTAAACTCGAAACTCATACTCTATGGTTGGACGCGCAAATTCGACATCTTAAACCCAAGTTTTTAAATACATGGTATATGACGAGTTCGAACAGTAAATTATTTATGCTCGGTTTCTCCATGGAAAGGTTAACTTAATTAATTAGAAAAATAGTTCTACCATAAGCTCAACTTGTCCGTACCATTGAAAAGGTCTTCTTACAAATAAAAATCTATCTATGGTTGGAGTGACGTAAGACTATGTTTGCATCTCTACGTCCGAAAGCTAACGGTTAAAAATGCTGCATAGCAATGAGCTATAAATGTTTGAAAATAGGATCAAAGTCAATAGGAGGTTTTTTTTAATATTCAAGTTGGGAGGTGGGAGGTTTTTTTTAATATTCAAGTTGGGAGGTGGGAGGTTTTTTTTAATATTCAAGTTGGGAGGTGGGAGGTTTCTTGTTCTTGAACACAACTACAAAACTTGGACTGTTAGCATCTTCATGAACCAATCCCAATCTCCTTATAAACTGACAAATCTATGAGATTGTATAGTGGTAAAAGCCTCCTTATGATCTTAGCTTCTTCTGTTCTTGCTCTATTCTCACTCGAGTTCTTCACAATCCTGAACTAAACATGAAGGTGATTCATTATATTCACTTCTTCTCATAACATTTCTAAATTTTTCTATGTTTTTATTGGCAATTTTGGGTCATTTTCAAGAACCCTAAACAGTTTGTACTTAGAACAGCAGATAATAATGGTATAATAATTGGTTTGTTCTTATATTTTGATGCAGAAAATAGTGGTGAGAGTGGATGTACCTGATGAAAGAGCAAAGCAGAAGGCTATGAAAGCAGTTTCCTGCCTTTCAGGTACTAAGTTTCATCCTCCTCAAACTAATTTAATTAAAAAAACAAAAAACAAAATGGTTATTCAACTAAATTTTAATACATCAAAATATTATAAGTGTGACGGTCTAACCACACCGCTAACAAATATTGTCATTTTTAAAATTTTTCCATCTAGATTTCTCTCAAGGCTTTAATCCCCAATTGATGTGGGATCTCACAATTCACCTATCTTCCGAGTCCAGCGTTCTCGCTGACACTCTTTTCTTTCTCCTGTCGATATGAGACTGCCCAATCCACTTCTTTTAAAGCCCAACGTCTTTACTGGCACACTGACTTAGTGCCCACTCCCATTCGGGGCTCAATCTCCTTATTGGCACATTGGCCGGTGTCTGGTTCTGATACTATTTTTAACAGGCTAAGCCCACCACAGACAGATTTTCACACCTTTATAAAAAAATGTTTCGTTCTCCTCACCAACCGATGTGTGATCTCACGACAAGTGTGTTATAAGTTTGTGGGTGATGTTGAGGATGCAGGGATAAACTCCATAACCATGGAGATGAAAGACAGGAAGATGATCGTCGTGGGGACAGTAGACCCAGTGGAAGTAGTGGAGAAGCTGAGAAAGCTTTGGTTTGCAGAGATTCTCACAGTTGGACCTCCAAAAGAAGTGGAAATCAAAAAACCACTAATTACTTGCATTGGGTATCCCTGTTATTGTTGTAATCAGCCCCCCACCTTCTATTACAAGCAAGAGGAAATCCCAAATGGTTGTGTTCTCTGTTGAAACCATCATTTTTTTGTTAAATAAGGTTTACCTTGTGTGCTGCTTCAATTTTCTTGTTCATTTGTTTGTGTTTTGGTTTTTTTGTGAATTTTAGGATGTTTTTTTTTTTTTTATGGGTATGATGATGAATTTATCATTTGTTGTTCTTGTGTCGAAATACTCCACCCAAAAAAAAAAATAAACTTATAAAAGTTCTATCCATTGTTTTTCGTAGTACCAAGTTGTGCTTAAGTTTATAAGGTTGACGATGACGATGACGATGACGATGACGATAGTTGTGTACTCGAGTTGATAACCTATGAAGCATGAGATAGAACTCTTATGATTTTTTTTTAAAAAAAAGATTGAATTAGGTTGAATCACGATCACACGGACCTATGTGCCCGACATGGGGCCGACCAGGGAACTTGGGCTTCGACCCAAGCTTTTTTTCTCTTTTGTTTGGTGGATCGACTCCTTTCATGCTTTGGTTCATTTTAGTTCGTGTTGGATTTTTTTTCTTATTTAGTTCTTGATTTTTGTTGTATTTTATGTTTGTTAGGTCTAATTTTACTCATAATATATGAATTTAAATTTTATTGGAAATAAAACAAGCCACTTAGGAGAATATATTTGTATGAGATCCACATGAAAATGAAATATTACTTATAGGGGGCGTGGAAACCTCTCTCTAGTATACGCGTTTTAAAATCGTGAGGTTGACGATGATACATAACAAGCAATGGATTGTTACGGTTCGTGTGTTTATTTGTGTACGTGGATGAATTATCATTTTTATTTTTGTCCAAAATTGTTGCACTTAAAAAGAAAAAAAAAAAAAACAATACTATATTTTTTTTATTATTTTATTTGAAGAGATAAGAATATGTTAATTAATTGGTTAAGTTAGACAGACAATGCTAATCAAAAGTTAACAATCATTTTCTTAAAATATAATATTGAAAATTGAGTTGAATTGGGTGCTGGGTTGTTTTAAGTTGGTAAAACTAATATAAATAATTATATGAATAAAAAAATATAATATACATGAAAACAACTGGTTAACGTTTCTATATTAATAATAATAAGAAAAGGTTAAAGTTTCTCTCATTTAAGTTAACCAATGATTATCACAATCAAAAATCAAAATAATTAAGACAGCCTAATTTTTTTTAATCTTATAGTTTTATATACTAAGGTCCCAATTAATAATTATAGGAATAAAAAAATATATTTTATATTTATAATAATAAGAAAAAGTTAAAAGTTTATATCATTTAAGTTAACAAATGATTTATTATTAAGACATGCTAATTAATTTTTTGATGTTAAAGATTTGATCTTATAATTTTAAAGACAAATGCATAATGTTTTAACCATTATTATTTTTCTTAAATTTGTTTGATTAATATTCAAGTTGGCAGTTTAATTTAATGAGCATGACATAAAATAAAAACATTTATAATGGTTATTTAATTATATATTTACATTTTCTTTTCTTTTTCTAAAAAATTCAAATTTACAAATGTTTTATAATAAAAAGCTACGTTGGGGAATCAAAATTTCCAAAGAATTGGGCTGAGAAAGAACAAAAACAATTGAGAATTTCAAAGTTTTTTTTAATAATAACTCAAATCTATTGGAAAATTTTAAAAAATTATATGTTTTTGTTTTACAAATTAGAGCTAAGGTTATGGAAATAATATAATAGAAAAGACTCATAATTTGTGTCGATTTCGTTAACGGCTTCAATTGGAAAAAGTGATGGCGTCGTGTAACGGCTCAAGGTCATATTAGATATTATTTTCTTTAAGTTTTTTCTTTCTAAACTTTCTCTCAAGATTTTTAAAATGTGTTTGTCGGAGAACCCTTATAAAAAAAAAAATGTTTCTTTTCTTCTCCAACCCAATGTAAAATTTTACACGTCGACTCATTCATTTAACTTCAATTCATTGTCCAAATCGTAGATAGGAAGCTCATCCATGTCAATGAACGAAGATTATACTACGTTTTGTTTATCTCAATTATGGTAATGAAATTAATATGAAACGTCCTAAACAAAGCCAAATCAAATTCAAATTCTAAGACAATAAAAACTCCTTGACCAATTAAACTCTTGAAAAATAAACCACTATTTTCAGTCATGATAAGAACAAATAAAAAAAAAAGGGTTATTTCAGTCATGGTAGACCAAAAAGCTTGGTCCCCCGACCTTATCATAAAAAAATAAAACCAGAAATATATATTTATTTATTTATATTATAAAGTATTGCTTGTGTCACGAATTGCATTATTTAATACTTTAATTTCCAGAATGCGTAGGTGGCTATGTTTCTGATTGGTCTTGTCCACTGATGTCCTGTCATTGTTTTAACATTTTCTATTTCATTAACCTAATTAAAATAAATAACTTAAATAATTGGTGTCACATATCACATCACACTCTCAAAATATAGCCCACCCATCCTTACCTTATCTTTTTTTTCATTCATTTCTATTCTGACCCCACTTTGATTTTCTTATGGACTTATAACTAATATATATATATATATATATATAGTTATAAATATTTGACTTATTATATAAGTTGGACCCAATGAGATTTGGTATTACAGGACCATATCATCTATTTTGTTTTTTTTTTCCTTCTTATTTGAAGTATAATTAAATTTATTTTTTTCCGAGTGTTTGAGATGCGATAAAATATTCAATTATTCACTCTTATGTATTTCAGAACTAAAAAAACGAGATAAATAGACTCTAAAAGTATTTACTTGTAAAAATAAAAATTTATCAAATATAATATATAAAATTGAAATCTCCTAAGTAACGACATTGATATCGACCTTGCCAAAGGAAGTAACGTGGAGGGCAAAGAATAGTGAAGAAAGAATCAAGTTGTGTGAATTATTGCATTCTCTGAAATGATAAGACAATGCATAGAACACTAGGGGACATACTAAGAAACATCATAACCAAACCAACCAAACAACCACTACCTTAATGAATGAAATGAGTTCGAGTTATTCGATGTAGTGTAGGCATGGTCTATGCCCCAACAAAATAAACGAGAGTAAAGCTTACTCAAACAATAACTATTATTGAAACAAACAATTGAAGGCAATCTTCTTGCTATTCATCTGTGAGAGGTAATAATCCAATCTCTTTTCAATATCAAATAACATCTATTATTGAAAAGAAATGAGAAAACAATGCAATTATAAGGGTGTGGAAATCTCTCTCTAATAAACGGGTTTTAAAAATCGAGAGGCTGACAATGATACATAATGGACTAGAGCGGACAATATCTACTAATAGTGGGATTGAACGGTTACAAATGTATTAGAACTAGATAGCAGGCGGTATGCCAACGAGGATACTGAGCCCTCAAGGAGTCTGAATTGTGAGATCCTACAACATCTAGAGGTGTGCCAGCGAAGACGCTGCCCTCAAGAGATGAATTATGAGATCTCATGTCAATTGGAGAGGGAAACAAAGCATTTCTTATTTGAGGAAAGGAAAGTTGTTTGTTATTGGTTTATATGAATGGTTGTTACAAGTTGTAACAAACCCTCGTTTACTTTTCACCCATCCATTTGATGAGTGAAAAACGAGTAAAAACAACCCAAATACAAAGCGCACAACTCACAAATTATTACAAACAAAAAATGGATGAATCAATCAATCAAATGAACCACCCCTAACAGTTAAACAAGTAAATTTTGTTAAGCTTGTCAAAACATCCATATCGTCCGCTTCAAGTTGTAGCACGCAGCATTGGCGACTGAGGCAATGGCGAGTGCGGCGACATTATGTCCTCAAGCCTTCGAGACGACAGCCTAAGTTCAAGGCTGCTTTGGCGCCAGCAGAACTTCTGTTTCTTAATCTTCGTTGTTACCTCCTTGTTTTGTAGCACAAAGTTTCTAATTCTCGTTATGGATATCTCCATCGTGTTGTCGTCCATGTTCGCGAAGCAAACTCTAAACCATCCCGGCTCCGAGCAATGGAAAGACGACCCCGGCGACACATTCAGCTTCACGTCGTTGATTATCACTCTCCATAGCGCCATTTCCGCTTCCAATGTCTTCTCTGTCAATAGATGACGCAAATCCATCCATAAGAACAATCCCCCACTTCCTCTCAAATATCCAATTCCGACCTATATTAAGCACAACAATTAAAAATTAGTTTAGTCGAATCTCAATTTATTTTAAAAGTTTTAATTAAATTTATCGTAACTCATTCACTAACCTGAGCGAGTCCTCTAGTAAAATTTCGATGACGTGCAGCAAGTTTCTTAGCACTCCCAACAAGGAAGCTCTCGACAAACTCATCATCGGACAACATCGACGCAATCAAATGTTGTGTTTGCGACGACACGAGGCCAAAGCTCGACATCTTTCGAGCACAGTTGACGACCGCATCATTATAAGAGTAGATAATACCAACGCGAAATCCAGGGAATCCCATATCTTTGGAGAGGCTATAAACCACATGGATCAAATTCTTGTCACATTTGGTGTCATTTTCAATTACTTCGGAGATACTAATGAAGCCAGGCTCAGTGAAGACAGTAGCAGCATAGATTTCGTCGCAAACCAAGTGGATCTTCTTTTGGTTGATGAATGCTACAGCAGTTTCAAGAGTTTGTCTATCGTACACTATGCCAAGTGGATTTGAAGGGTTTGTAATGAGTAAGCCTTTGATTTTGATGTTGGATTCTTGAGCTTTCTCGTAGGCTGTTTCTAAGGCTTCTCTTGTTAATTTGAAGTTGTTTGAGCTATTGCATACGACTGGAACTATTTTCACTCCGGTTCGCCACCTTAAATCTCTATCGAATCTGTACCCATATAAGGAAGGTTTCATTGTTAGCTAAATTCATTATTTATAAAGTTCATGCTGACTTGGACACGAAAATAATGACGTGGACTTGTTCGAGTTGAATGGAAGAGCTAGAAATGGGCAGCTGTCACTTTCATCCTTGTTTTTTTAATGTGTTGGGACAGAATTGAAGAAGGTGGATTGGTCAATTGTGGGTCAAGTCAAACACTTTAATATGTCAAAACAAAAATTAAATAAAATTAAAAAAGAAAAAGGAAGGAAGCAAATACCCTGGATAGTAAGGAACTGGCACTAGAAACGCTTCACCAGGATCAGCCAAACAAAACGCCACCGTTTCATGAGCTCCAGTTGCTCCACCACTCATGACAACTCGGTCAGGATCGAATTTGACTCGGTCGCCTCTCACTTTTCCCATAAAATTCGCCACAGCCTGTCAAATTTTATTTTCCAATTAGTTAATCATAATTAAGTGGAAATTAAATTAATTAGTTCGAATTAATTAACACTTACGTTTCTAAACTCAGGCAATCCATGGTAGTCCTGGAAGATAGCTATGTCCTTAAACTCATCCAGTCCTTCCACAGAACAAATGGAAGCTTGTGGGTTGTTCTTAATCCAATCCTCCACGAATTCAAAAGAAAGCTGCAATTTTGAAGCAAACCCACCAAGAAAAATGGTCAAAAAATTGAACCCAGAGATTCAAAGCCCAAAAAGGATCAGTTGAAATGGGTGGTACCTGATTTTCAGCCAAACCCATTTGAATAACTCCACGAGGGTTCATTATGGGGTGAAATGGATCAGTGTCGTAGGCTTTCCAGCCGTCGAAATAAGGAGAATCCTCGCCGTGGCCGTTGCCTTTGGCAAGTTTTGAGAGTAAGTTGTTTGCATTGCTGGACACCAACACCATTTTCAGTGCAAAAAAGTTGGTTGAGAATTGAGAAAAACAAGAGAGAGAAAGGAGAGGGAATTGTTTGAGCGACGAATGATTTATGCTTATTGGTGGTTGAGGAGATTGTAAAGAAGTATATATATATATAGAGAGAGAGAGAGATAGAGATGTTGGGTCAGCCTTACAAATCAAAGTTTTTCTTCTTACCGAAACTGGGAAGAAAGTTCTCGATGAATTAGGGACATCACCAATGTCCGCTGGTGAAAATTGTCGGCTCTTTCTCTCACAAAACTTTACTTAATATTATACTTTTTCATGTTTCATTCTTCATTCATGTATCGGTTCATTCATGTATCAATATGTTACCTTTTTATCTTTATAAGGTTGATAAGGTTGATGACCTTTTCTCATCTTGAAATTCAGTCATTAAATGTAAGTCTTAGCTCACCGTTAGTTAGTAGATATTTTCTTCTTTGATCTCTTATTTTTGAACTTTTGATCGAGGTTTTTTCTGTTCGAGAGAAGTTTTCACGCTCTTATGAAAAATGTTTCGTTCTCCCTTCCAACCAATGTGCGATCTGTTATTAAGACCTTCAATAAAATCCCCGCAACAAAAAAAACTAATAAATGAAAGTCAAAGAAAGAAGTTTAAGACACTCACACGTCGGCCACACACACGTTTCTTCTTTACTCGGATCAAAATCATATTTAAGCTAAACATAATTAATATAATTCTTTTGTTGTCCATTTTTTCACTCTCAAAATAGTAATTGAAAAGACGAAACAAGAATTATTTTTGATTTTTTAAAAACTATTGAGCAACTTCTCAATTATTATACATTCCAAAAGGAAAGTGTTTCGAGAGTAATTATTCAAAATTCAATTAAACAATAAAAAAGCTTACAACATGCATCGATAATGTATTCATCATTTTATTGATAGGTTTCACGTGTTAGATTTTAAACACGATTCTGCGAATCAAAATAGGACGTCGGAACCGACATTTTGATTAATTTTGAGAATGTGATAGCTAAGAGAGATCTAAGAATCTGATAGAGTGGCCTTAATAATTAAGGAGAAGACAAGAGGAAGCATAGGAGAGAGTCCTAAAATAAAAGAGTCTTAGGTACAACACCTCCAAAAGGTGGCTGATATGGATGACTTTAAGGGAGGTGCCCTACACGACAAAGAGTGTAGGGTCAAGTGTCCCACAAACCGACAGATTATTCAAACAGTCCAACTCGGAATATCCAGCCTTATGCCCCCCTCACACAGTTGGCACATCAGACTTTAATTTAAACTCCATTTTTTTTTTCTCCAATATATATATATTAAAAAAATATTAATTAATTATAGAATCTCTTGTTGGTGTATCCCTTTTTGCCAGAAGGCTGGGTTTTTTGTTTTTTATTTTTTATTTTTTATTTTTTATTTTATAATTATAATTATTTATTTTTGGAATTTATAACTCTGTTGGGATACAGCTTTTGAGACTGTGTTCGAATTATTTGAGAACTCATTGGGTGATGAATTATAAAATAATGGATTCGTGTTTTCTTGTCGCCTTTATTTCACGTTTATTAATAGTTTTATGTCTCTAATTTTTGTATTTTATTACAATTTTTTTAATGTAAAAATAGCATCGCTGGAAATTTTAAAATAATAGTCGACATAAGTAATATTTTATTATTTTTAGTGTTTATAAATAATAAAGGACTTTGCATGAGTGAATCAATTTATTATTTTTTTAAAAATAATAATAATAAAACTTGATTTTCTTGCATTATAATTTATAATTCAGAGTAACCGTGTCCGAGAATTAAATGGAATATGCAAAGTAGAAAATATTGCTTCTTTTTTTTATTTTTTAATTAAACTTATAAATATTATTTTTTAAATATGAATTTTCTAATATGTAATTAAACGTTACGAAATTGTTCATAAACATAAACTTGAAAATTGGAGAGATAAAATTTTAATTGGTGAAAAATTTAGAAATATATAAATAAAGGAAGAAGTCAGTTTTGATAATGGGTGTAATATGAACACACTTATAAAATCAATTCAAAACTAGTGATTAAATCATATTTTCTTCACAAAATTATTCAAAAAAAGCTGTGGTAATATTCAAAAAAGAAAAGGAAAAGACTTTGAATGCTACCCTAATTTCTTAAAACAATTTCTTACAATTATTTCTTCTCTAAATATAATATTTAAATTATATATTAAAAAAACAATAAATGAAATCTTCTCGTGCGGAGAATATCCTATCCGATCATGTTTGTATTTCTAAATAAAAAATAAATATCCAAACACCATTGTTCTCAATTATTATCAACCCAATTTTCATTTTCCTCAGATTTATCTTTTTTACAAAATATATTTATTGTATTAAAAATATTGTTACTAAATTAAGATATAAAAAAATGAAAATTTAATCAAATAAGGTCTAATTTATTTATTTATTTTATTTTCCTTTCTCCCTTTTTGCAAAAGCCATTATTAAGCTTTGAAGGATAATCTTCAAGTGGGTATGGTTCAATGTATTTTACCCAAAATCATAGTGAAACAATTTTTATTTATTTGCAATTACAGTGTATTTGTTTAATTTTTCTAAAAGTATAAAGGCCCAAATACAAAAAAATAAAAAAAAATTTGGACTCGTACCCATGGAGATTGTGTTCTTTACTTATAAACCTATAATTTTTTTCTTTAATTAGTCAATATGAGATTACTCCTCCGAATACATGCACTGTTGTTCAACCCAACAAAAATATATTATTATCTTTTATTTGAGTGTGTTTTAGGAAGAAAAAACAACATCGAGTCGAGCAACTTCTTAAATGAAAACGTTGGAAAGTGCATAAGGTTCAATGAATTTACTTTGATATTGATAAGATTAAATTAATAACTACTATTTGTATTGTGGGCATTTAAATTAAAATTGAGATAATGTGTTTTAAACATGTGGGTGGCTAGAAATGTATGCTTCCAGGCCTAATAATATTGAAGAAATTTTTTTTTGGAAAATAAAAAACAAAGTAAGAATTTATTGAAGACCCATTCAAATTCAAATTCAAATTCAAATTCAAAATAAAATAAAAACACAAAGGTTGTCAAAAACGACATAGTTTGGTTGTGTTCCATTTTATTCCATTCCACAACAAGTAGAAAGAAGAATAAAAAGTCAAAAAATCAAAAAAAGCAAAAAGTCAAAAAGTCGTAGGTTTCCAATTTTTAGAGACACGTGGGATGCCCAATATCTCCAACGGGCAGCCCCTGCCCCTTTCTTTATTACTATTTTCATTTGTTTTATAATATATTCTCCTTTCCTTTCTTTCTTTTTTCTTTTTTATTTTTTATTTTTCAAACACTTATACCTCAAATTTTTTAAGTTGGTGGCTTTTACTGACGTTGATGTTTTGAATTTATTCCTGTCAAAGTATTTCTATAATTTCACTTGCCCAATACTTTAATGATGTCATGATTGCTCGGGATTAAAATTGTTTGCTTTTCCCGGTCCCACTTCTTACTTCGTGAGATCCTCTTTATAAACGCGTGACTTCCTTTTATTTCATCGATGTTAGTGTTAATTTGTACCGTTTCATCCATGAAAATTAGCGTGAAATTTCTTTCATAGTAATTATATGATATATAATTTTTTTAGAAATTATGGAAGAGAATGGGGAGTAAGCTAATTAGAAAATGTTGAGAGAGAATGACAAAAAAAAATCGAAAGATCTTCCAGTTAGATTGGGGATTCACCAGGACCCGCCTCAATTACAGAGGGGATTCACCGACCGGAAATATATATATTTTTTTAGATGAAGATAAATAGAGTGAATGAATACTCCATCTAATTACTCATCATAATATTAAAATTTAAATTTTTAAAAATTATATGGGTAGGATATTATATATATATATATAGACATGTTTACTTAGGAAACATATCTATTTATTAAGTGAAATAGGTATCGAGAATGGAGACATAGGAACCGAGAATGGAGACAGAGAAGGAGAATCCCCACCTGTGAACATCTTTAATTTTGTTAATTACAACACGGTCAAATTTTACAAAATTCGACTCAGATATAATTAATGATAAAGCCAAAATGAAAGAGTAATTTCCACTCATCTTTACCTCTTTCACACACCAAGAAAAGAAAAAGAAAAAAAAAAAAAAAAAAAAAAAAAAAAAAAAAAAAAAAAAAACATTGTAGCCAATTTCTAATGTTGACCATATCATTTTCATTTTAACGTTGTTGAATGATCAAAACGTTTAACTGTGGAAGGGAGGGGAGATTCAAAGTATTGACACTAAAGCAGATTCCACTTGAAATGGAGCAGTGTTGTTGCTATTACACTAACAAAGCAGCAGCAGTAATGGTAGGGGTTCTATCTCCTCATTAGGAGGACCACCGTATGGGCAGCAATGCTTCGGTTTTCGCCGAGGCTGTCGACCTTCTCGTGTGTTTTTGCCTTCAGATTCACGACAGATTGGTCGGCTCCAAGAAGATTGGAGAGGTTTGCTCTGATAGCTTCCTTGTGAGGGCTAAGCTTTGGTCTTTGGAGTATCAATGTGGCATCCAAGTTTCCTATCTCATAACCTGCCTCATGCATCAGTCTCACCTGGAATATCACCCAAAATTAAAACCAAACTTCCTCATCAATCAAACTGTTCACTTCATTTTGACTTCTAGTTACTAGGTGAATCCATCAAGTAACCCGAAGTCAAAATGAACAGTTTGAATTCTGTCTATTTTAGACTGAAAAATGTTCCAGTGATTCCCCAAGGTCGTAACCCCAAGTCGAAATAATTGAAATGAACAGTTTGGGATGATATTTAAGCACACACGAATCAATAGTTTAACAAAAATTGAAGAACTACAAAGCAGGTGAAACAAAGGTCTCTCATTATTGATTACCTTTCCCTGAGACTCATTAGGGGTGTTTACCTCACCCTTCTTTTCTTTATCTGCGAGTGTCCAAGCTAGCTTACGAGCACCTAGATCTTTTATCTATGAGTGTCCAAGCTAACTTACGTGCACCTAGATCTTTTATCTATGAGTGTCCAAGCTAACTTACGTGCACCTATATCTTTTATCTATGAGTGTCCAAGCTAGCTTACATGCACCTAGATCTTTTATCTATGAGTGACCAAACTAGCTTACGTGCACCAAAATATTTCACACAAGACAGCCACATGACCCTACTACATTTAGTTGCCAAAGAAACATATGGTACTTTTCGGAGGGGGAAGTAAAAGGGAAATCCAAGGTTATAAGATTTGCAGCTTTTCTTCTCTTTTGATACAAATGTGAATCGGAAAAGTCCACCGCTAGCAGATATTGCCTTCTTTGGGCTTTTCTTTTCGGACTTCTCCTCAAGGTTTTTAAAACACGTCTGCTAGGGAGAGGTTTCCACACCCTTATAAAGAATGTTTCGTTCTCCTCCCAACCGATGTGAGATCTCACAATCCACCCTCTTTTGGGGCCCAACTCCTCGCTGGCACACCGCCTCGTGTCCACCTTCCTTCGGGGCTCAGCCTTCCACTAGCACATCGCCCAGTGTCCGGCTCTAATACCATTTGTAGCGGTGCAAGCCCACCGTTAGCAAACATTGTTCTCTTTGGGCTTTCCCTTTTGGATTTGCCCTCAAGGTTTTTAAGACACGTCTACTAGGGAGAGGTTTCCACGCCTTTATAAAGAATGCTTCGTTCTCCTCCCCAACCGACGTGTGATCTCACAAAGCCTGTCTTCCAACAACTTTCATATCAATTTTTCTTTCTTTTAACGAAGAAATTCATTAATATTCTCTAAAAGGCATTCATTTTCCCCTACAATCTCAAATAAAAGCTCTACTTTCTTATACTTTTCATCATCTTATTATTGGTCATACTAGTCCCCCTAAAGTGAACTTCAAGCAAACATAAAGGTATCATAATATCCAGTATGAAAGCAAAGCAACTAGAGAATCCTAAGATCATTTTAAATTAATCAAGGCAAAGAGGATATATTAATATATAAACATAACAAAACTTGGCAGTGAGTTTGAATTTGGTATGCCAGAACTACTTACAGCTTCTTTAATGAAAACAGATGAAGGGGCACCCTTCCATTTGGGATCTGAATCTGGAAAGATTTGTCCAATATCAGGAAGCCCCAAAGCACCCAAAATTGCATCAACCACACAGTGAAGTAGAACATCCCCTAAATCAACAAAACAAAGAACCACTTCAAAATTTAAAAGTTTTTAGATATAAAATTCCCTCATTCCATGTAGAAATTTAGAATTCGTCATTGCTGCAATCAAGAAATTAATGAAACCAACAAAAGTGAGCTTATTATTTAAAGAATTAGAATACACACAATTAAGTTCGTAAGAAGATTCCCTAACTCTTCAGCAGAACAGAACAGCAACCAACAAGAACACAGAAACAGGAAAACAAACTAGAAGCAAAGAGATTACCATCAGAATGAGCTTCGCAGCCTCTGTCATGGGGAATATTAATTCCCCCAATAATCAAAGGATACCCAGGCTCCAGCCTATGGAGATCGAACCCATGTCCAATCCGAAACGGCAAGGCTTTAGACCGAGAATCTGAGGCGGCAGCCCGATCAGAGTCGACGGCGGTGGCCGCGTCCACAGAGGGAGAAGCGGCAGAATTCACACGGATGGAAGGGCGCGAAGAGGAGGAGGAAACAACATTGAAATTTGTTCTGGGGAAGGAGCGGGGGTAGACGGAAAGAGAAAGGGATTGGTGGGAGGTTGTGGCGGTGGTGGCAGAAGCGAAGATGGGGAAGGGGACAGCCATGGAAAGGGTAAGCGAAGAGGAGGTGAGTGGAGCTGGGTTGTGTGGTTGACTTGTGTTGGTGGCGGAGAAAAGGGTGCGCAGGAACCGAGCCGCTTGGGGGTGGGCATGACTGCCAGCTCTTCACTAATTATCGCATTACCTTAAACGGATGCTCGGTACCCCAAAATAGTAAACTTGTTATCCTCATTTTTAACTATGGAAAAATATTTATAAAAGTTTATAAATATAAATAATTTCCAACAAAACATACCAATTGTTCGAGAAACACTCCAAAACATGTTTTAAAAATGAATACGTCAAATTTATTACACGTTTACTCCTAAAAAGAACTGACTTCATTTCATGACTTCAAGATGAGTATTTAAAAATACTCAATAAGTAACCTTACTATTCCACGCGAGCCAATGCCATGGATGACGAGCTTGTGGAACACAATCCGACCCAAAACCCTTCTCGATAGGAGTCCAATCCATGGGACTTCTTATATACTCCATGGTTGAAAAGTTGGCCAAGCGGCCCAAGCCCAAGGCCCAATTTTGTAAAAGCCCATTTGACCAATTTTATTGAATTTTTACGATTTTCTTGAATCACGAATTAAATATCGCATGCTAAATTTATAAATAGCTAAATAAGAATTTTCGCAAGACATTCCAACTGTCATCGGACAAAAATACCCCTCAAGTATATATTACACTCTTAATGAAGACTACTAAGAAAGAGAGATAAACGGTTGCTAACATAACTAAATTGAAATAATTCAAAATTAATTTAAATTAGTGTTAGTATAATCTTTAATAATAACCTAAAGGATATATAGTATATGGACAAAGTTGTGTGTCTTATCTCAATGACGCTGTTGATATGAGCTATTATGTAATTGTTATAAATGATTTAACCCATTGAAGCCACATAAATAAGTATATTTTATGCAATAAGTTTGTCTACGATCGGACTATAAAACATTAAATATATTAATTGAAAAGATTAATATTTATATAGTAACTCGATTTTAATCTTGAATGAGTTATGAATTTATGTGTATAACAATTTATCCATTGATTTGAATGAGTTAATGTGAATTTTTTTAGCCGATTCAATCAACCTACTATTTTGGAGACTTACTAAATAGAGAGTTGAAAACATAATTTCATAAAAAAAAATTGAGTTGGGAAATAATAAAATATTTATTTTAAGAGAAACAAATGGACACAGTTTGATACTAAACTTATAATAATCTAAATAGTTTAATACTTCAAATCAAAATTAATTTTATTATTCTAAATAGTTTAATTAATCATCTCAAAATCTGTTTTGATGCCCTCATCATAAACATCAAAAGCCATATATATAATTTTCATCATTAATTAATATTAATCTCAAGAACCCTTTTGATGCCCTCATCATTACATCAAAAGCCATATATATTTCATTTTAATAAATATCTCAACCAAAGTCAATCAATTTGATTCGGATTGTCTTTTCATAGACATGAAGAGCTCGTCACCTCAAGAACAAGAATTATTAAAAGCGCTTGTAAATAACTGATAAAAAAATAAAAAAAAAAACTTTATATATATCATACAAGTGGAAAGATATCGATGTCAATACACGCTTTGTCTCGACATTCATAAGGTCAAACAAGGAATTTCCCTTTCAATTTCTTACCTACATGGAAACAAACAAAAAAAAGAAGAAGAAGAAGAAGAAAGGGAAAGCAAGAGACCATTTCAAAGGCATCTATGTATCTATCCATCTTATTCTCATCTCCAAGTTGCCCATTTCCGCGTGGGAAAATCAAACACCCCTTTCTTTAAATGGCCCATACTACGCCATTCGTAACCTTTTTAACTTGGTCCCAAATTCTTAACCCTTTTTTGTTTTTACGTACTATCAATTCAAACGTCTATCTTATGACTAAAATCATCCATTTTTAAAATGATAATTAGTGTTTTCTTCGCTGAATTAGGTTTGAATTGAGTTTTAAATTTGTTTCTTATACATTTGACCTTCAATTTCTTTTAGAAATTATATTTAATAGCACTTGGAAATGACGTTAAAGTGATGTCATTGTTATAATATTCAAATAATAGTATAAACATATCTTAAATATTCTAATTAAATAACCTTTTAACGTCAAGAAAACTATCAAATGATAACAAAAGTTAATAACGAAGAAAACCGAGACTAAATTTATTGCTATTTACGAATAGAATAAGAATTATACACTATCATCATTGATGGGCCTATTTGACGTGAAAACGCACTCGAATGACATCTAACAAGTTGATTTGGTTAGTAAAATCCAACCCCATAGAATAGGGTTAAAAGATTTTGAGTGGCTTTGGTTCTTAATAAGAGAAAGTAGATTAGGGCAAGGGTCCATGGAGTTGAAGATGTGGCAAGTTGCAAAAGAGGACTTTAAGGAAGGTTCTTGATTATAGGATTGAGATTAGGCAGTGGGTTTTTTTGACTGAAAAAGTAAGAAAAGTCGGAAAGCAATGCCCTGTTTTTAGCATTATTGATGGATTAGACTAGAACAGTATGTAGGCAATGGGAGCAAGCGTGGGAAAGGCCCAAGGGATGGGGAGCAACCTATAAGCGATAACATATAATATCCATCCATCCATTCCGTGGAACTTTTCATTAGTCGACATCCACATGAACAAATGCATTGAGATGAGATTACGTCTGTAATAGTCCAAGCTCACCGCTAGTAGATATTGTTCGTTTTGGCTCGTTACGCATCATCGTCAGCTTCACGGTTTTAAAACGTATCTGCTAGAAAAAAAAATTTCACTCTTATAAAGAAGGTTTTGTTCCCCTCTTTAACTGATGTGGGATCTCACAATCCACCTCGCTTGAGAGTCTAACGTCTTCACTGACACACCGTCCAGTGTCTAGCTCTTATACCATTTGTAACTGCCCAAACCCACCCCTAGTAGATACTATTCGTTTTGGCCCGTTATGTATTGTCGTCAGTCTCACGGTTTTAAAATGCTTCGAGGAGAAGTTTCCCTACCCTTATAAGGAATGCTCAATTTTTCTCTCCAACCGATCAGTATCCGATCTTAAGTTTGATTTATAGTGTTAGGCTCAAATTTGTATCAAAGGTAAAAAGGGTTTTTCGAGAAATTTTAAAATCGGATAAAAAGTTTTATCATAGTACTTTTAAGGAAATTGATTAATTAAGTTTTTTAAAAAAGTGTTTAGTACTAAAAGCTTTTTTATTCAAAATTCACATTCATGCCGAACATATTATAAAGAAAGTTAGAGGAAACGAATTCAAACTTTATAATATCTACGTACTAAGATATTAAAATATCGATAATAGACGAGACGTTCAAAGCATCAAAACTAATATTAACTCTCAAATGGAAAAAAGGACACATTTTTAAAGCCATTATTGATATACTTAAGAGGAAAGCTTGCTAAGATGGACAACTATAATCATCAACAACACTGTCCAATTAAAAGAGAGGAAAGAAAAGGGTCTGAAAATAACATAAGATTATATTAATTTATCAACAAAAAAAAAAAAAAAAAAACCATTTTTTTAAACGCGTTGACATTTAATAAAGTCAATGGAAATGCAGATTAAAGCGGCAGCAACAGTTTCAGAAGATCCCATATCTTCAATTATTTAAACAAGTTTGGGGAAATTCAATTGGCTCAAAGCTGTAAACTTCATGTTCAAAGTGATCTTTGAATTTGATATCCATGGAGGATTGGGATTTGCAGGCAATAGTGAAAGGGTGCAGTGCTAGGCCGAGCTCTATGCTTCAAGATCCTTTCTTTTCTTTTTTGAGCGAAGAAGATGACTTTTCTCGTGATTTTTCTTCTTCTTCTTCTTCTTGTTCTTCGCATGAATTTGAAGGATTTGGGAGCTCCATTTTTCCAGTTTTTCATCCCTTGATTCCTTATCCAAACAATTTCGCCGCCATTTCTGATCTTCTCGGAGAGTTTAAGGAGCCACAAAAGCTCCTTCAGAAGAAGCAAATTTCAGCTTCCAAGCAAAAACTAAGGTGGGTACTTCAATTTCCATGTTCTTGTTTTTCTTACGGGAAGAAATTTTTTTTTTTCAGGATCACAAATCTCCAAAATTGTATGATATTGTCTACCAAATTTGCTTCTGAACCATTTTTTTTTTTTTTAAGCAAGAAGAGTCGACAAAATAGGGTGGTAAAAGAGGTGAAAGCAGACAGTGTATGCTCAGATTCATGGGGATGGAGAAAATATGGACAGAAACCAATAAAAGGGTCGCCATATCCAAGAAGCTATTACAGATGCAGCTCCTCAAAAGGATGCTCAGCCAGAAAGCAAGTCGAACGGAGCTTCTCCGATCCTGACATCTTCGTCGTTACCTACACAGCCGAGCACAACCATGCCGAGCCAACTCGTCGCAATGCCCTCGCCGGGACTACTCGAAAGAAACTCCCAGCACCGGAGAATCCGAGCTTTGATGTGGTTCTCTCTCCCAGTAATTTTACTTGTGTGGCATCCATTGAAGAAGAACGGCCAATGGAGGGTGTGGGTGAGGGGGGAGTTTTGATGCATATACCGTTTGAATTCTCTAGCGAAGATTTGTTTACTGGTTCGGAGGATTTGCTTTTTGGATGACAAGTTTTGTGTTTTTGGAAAGAGATTGTTGTGGATTGAGAATTGTAAAACTTATGATTTTCCTATTATTTGGGAAGAACACATGATGGTGATGAGGGTGGAGTAGCAAATTCATAGAAATTGATATTAGTGGTAGATGCTTTGGGATGGTTGATCAAGAGAGCTTCAAGTGTGTGATATCTGTTAACAATTTGATATCATGTAAATTATGTGTAATTGATGTTGAGGAAAGAACTCTTGTAATTGTTAAATGTTGGGATTAAAGTCAAGAAAATGAGTAGTAAAGGAAATATCTTTATGCTAATTGAATAGCTAAATGAGCTTCCCTTAATTTCACCATTTTAACTATTTGTTATGACTATGAACTAAAATTACTTTGGGAAATGCCCAAATCGAAAGTATAAATGTTTGCTTTAGCCGCTAGCAAATACGGTCTGCTTTAGCCCGTTACGTGTCACCTCTAACCTCACGTTCTAAGAACATGTCTACTAGGCAAAGGTTTTCCCGCCTTTATAAAAAATGTTTTGTTCCTATCTCTCCAAAACTAATGTAAGATCTCACAATCTATTCCCTTGTGAGCCAGCGTCCTTGCTGGCACACAGCCCGATGTTTGGGTTTGATACCATTTGTAACACTCAAGCCCATCACTAGCAGATATTGTCTGCTTTAGCGCGTTATGTATACCCATTAGTCTCACGATTTTAAAATGCATATACTAGGTCCTCTCTTCTATCAAGGTGAGATTTTACATGATCACACTTCATTGTTATTCCATTAACAAATTGTTATTATTAATTTTGTTTATAGTACATGACAATGTTTGAGCGTATGATCTTTTGGTGGATAAAATATAAATGTTTTAACGCCTTGAGATAAAATGAATTATAATTAAATTGGTAATTCAAATATATTAACACATTTTTTAAATATCTGAACAAAATAATTTAAATATCAATTTTGATAACAATTTTGAAAGCGTTATATTGAAAGAATTGGTATTTACCTACCCATTACTTACTCTAACTAAACGTTTATCTACTTATAATCACAAATGTTTATTAGTTAAAAGAAAAATTACCGTAAGGACCAAAATGTCATTTTATAAAAAAAATTTAAAGATTAAAGTAAAATATCCTCTAAATTTGAATTTGAAAGTGTGTTTGAAGGAAAGTGAAGAAGAAATTAAGAAAATAGAGTAATGTTTGGATAAGATGTTCAAAAACATGGAGTTTGACTGCAACTATAAAATGAAGAACATACCAGAAAGCTGTTGCAATTACTTGTAATAGATGAAACCCAATTTCAAAAAAAGGTTTCATTTTTTCCAAACTACCACAACCCATTTCCCCCTGAGGCAGTTTAACAACATCATCAACATCCACAAGCCATCCATCCATCCATCAAAATATATATATATATATATATAGAGAGAGAGAGAGAGAGAGAGAGAGAGAAGAAGACATAGCTTGAAAGTTGAAACTAAGTTAAACCCAACAAACACGTACCAACTAGTTCAGAAATTCTGTTCAACTGCCCCACCCCAAAACATGAGCTTCAATTTCTCTCTCTTCTCTCTAAAAATATATAAGTTTTGACTTTGAGGGTTTTTTTTGGAAAAATGGTAATGGATGGTGACATTCATAATTCACATGATATGGCAAGTTCTAGTACTGTCAATTACCAAAGCTCTGATGCTGCTGCTGCTGCTGAAATTGATTGGGTTGGGATTTTTGGTGGTTACTCTGATGTGAGTTTGGAAATGGAGAAGGGCAGTGGAGTTAGTGAGGGTGCAACAATGGCCATGGGGGATTATAACTACCAGAATGACACTCATGTTCATGTTCATGGAGGGAAGAACAAAGGGAAAATGGCGATGGCAAAAAGAGGTGCAATTCCTAGGGTTGCTTTTCAGACAAGGAGCGCTGAGGATGTTCTTGACGATGGGTATCGATGGAGGAAATATGGTCAGAAGGCTGTGAAACATAGCACTCATCCTAGGTACTTCTTTTAAGATTTTCACACCTTTTACAAACGTGTTTCGATCTCCTTCTCAACCATTGAGGATCTGGGATCTCACCGTTATCATTTTTGTTGTCATTTTTAGAAAAATTGGATAGTTTGAATATTAATGATATCTTTTCATGAAAGGATTTAAAGATGATACTTGTTACTGAATATTCATTATGTCCTTGATGAGTATAAAAAACCTTTCGGCTTTCACGAATAATATTTTTACTTTAGCCATTAAGTTAATATCAGTTAACAAGAGAAGGGGTGAGAGATAACAACGGTATTCATTCCCTCGAGATTATAATCTTTCTTCTTTCGTTCGTTACAAATGAAAAGAATCGAGAAAAATTCTTATCGGATTAAAATAATTTTAAAAAATTCTTTTCTTTTTTTGCCTTTTTTTTCAGGAGCTATTACCGATGTACGCATCATACATGCAACGTTAAGAAACAAATTCAACGGCATTCCAAGGATCCAACCATAGTGGTGACAACATATGAAGGGATTCATAACCATCCATCTGAAAAATTAATGGAGACTCTAACCCCTCTTCTCAAGCAATTGCAGTTCCTTTCTGGCATTTAGAATCTCATTTTTCTTTTTTCCTTTTGCAAAGTGTAAGGTTGGGATATAAATCACATTATTTTTTTACATTACTTTACTCAACGTCGTCGTCGATTTCTTCGACAATGGCTTGCAATGGTTGCTGTACAAATGAAAATTACTATTCATGAGTTGAAATTGTTTTCATTGATAATTATATGATAAGATAGGTAAATGAGATATACAATTACCTTAATTGCAGTTTTTCTTTTTCCAATAAATTGACTCAGATATCTCAGTGCTTAGTTTAGCTCCATTTTGTTTAATCTACATGAACATTCAACATATTCGTTGATAATACAAATCCAAAAGTAAGCCAATGGAGAAGTAGTAGAAAGGAAAAATAAAGCAGCAACATCAGTTCCATATTGAATGGATTACCCAACACAACTCTATAGTAAATTCCTCTCTAAAATAATAAGGTTTGGGTTTGACAGACAAAAAACAAGACATTACATGCAACTTTTATAAACAAGCTGCTAAAACATATAAATTAAATACAATATAACCAAAGCTATGCAAAAATAGCAATTACTACCCGTGGAGACTCGAAGAAAGTCGATCTTGAGACTGGGAATACATGAGGAGAAAAGATCGAAAATATTTAAGAGGGATGGATTGATAACATGATCATACCAGAAATATGCATATCAGACTCTTTTCTTTCATTTCTCCATCAAAGAGACAACTGAAGATATATCCTGCGAAGGCCACAATGAGACGCCTTTTAAATTCTTCATGTTGCGCGTGGGCCGACTTAATCAGGAAATACAGAACCACAGCCCGAAAGCCTTGAACTAGTGGTAAGCAAGCAAGAGGATGGAAACTAGGAAATTCATGATGGTTTTTAACTTTTTAGAGACTTCCTAGTCTGAACATTCAAGGATGTTTCTTTGAGGGCCTTGCCAACTGGTTTGCACAAAAGTACGCTTAGATTTGAAAAGTTCCCAACTCATTCCCATGCCGTGTGAGTTGAAGTTTCCGTTCGCCAGTCCATTCTAGACGATAAGAAAGATCGAGACTATGAATCAAAATCTTCAAAATGTCTGCATGACTCAAATCCCTTGCATTGTCCTGGAAAAGGAAATTCAGTCATTGTATACAGTGCTCGGCGTTTCAAATGCACAAGGCTGAAAGCGGGAAAAATGAAATGGCCGAATAGACCTATTACTTATATTAGAGGGATTAACCAAAACCATCCTACTAAGTTTTTGCAAAGAATATGCGATTAAACAGGACAGCAGCCAACAAAAAGAGATGTAACTACACCAACGTAGAAACCATATTCCACATTCTCTACAATTAGTGCATTTATCAATGTATCATTGACCAAATTTCTCTATAAAAATGTAATAATTAAGCATCAACACTCAATCACTAAAATTCCATTAATCCTGAGGTAAATAGAGATTGAATTTAGGAATTCAGATTTTATCCCATACTATCAACACTAAATTAATAAAAATACCCTTAAATTTGCACTCGGTTTAAAACATACCCCTAAACTTTCAAAAATTTCAATAATAACCTTAAACTTTAAAAAAAGTCCACAAATATTCTTACCATTAGTTTTGGATGGAAACCATTAGTACTTTGTTTCCCTTGAACTTTCAATAGTGGTTAAAAAATATCCAACTTTAAAAAGCTTCATTGATACCCTTCAACTTTTTAAAAAGTTCAAAAATACTATTGTGGTTAATATAGACACCTCATAAATTATCTTTGAATTTTTTAATATTACTATTGAAAGTTCATGAGTATTTTTGAAACGTGGTATTAATGATAAGGGTATTTTTTAATTTTTTAAAAATATTTAAAGGTGCTTTTGAAATTTTTAAAAAAGTTTAAGGATATTTTTGAAGGTTTTAAAAGAATTCAAAGGTAATTTTGATGTTTTTGGAGAAGTTTAAGAGTATTTTTTAGATTTTTTTTTTTGAAGTTAGAAGGTCATTATTGAAACTTTTGGAAGTTTAGGAGTAGTCCAAGGTGGTGTAAAGTTATCAGGGATATTTTTATTAATTTAGTCTATTATCAAAATGAAGAAATTACCTTCACATCTGCTTGCCTATCAGATGAGTCTGTTGCACTTGCCATTATACTTAACCTCGAAGAATTGGGCGAGAATCCCTCCCATGGAGAAACAAATATCACTTTGGTGCATTGAACAGGAACAAAGTTGCGGCTTAGTTTCTCCCACCATACAGATCCCACTGACCACCATCGGATCATTAAGCCATGCTCCGAAAAGGCAACCACACCCTGTAATTTATACAGCCGTACAACTTTAAGCACACTCCAACAATGGCACACCAAATATCGTAAGAAAAAAAGAGCGTACCAATATACTGGTAAAATAGGCAGTATGCCATACATTAATATTATATCCTTCAAAATTTTATATTGAACACCACAGTATGCATCCATCAAGGAATGAATACAAAATAAGAACATAATGTACTCTGACAATTGATGCAAATATTATATTAAAGATATTTGATTGCCATCATCCAAATGTTGAGATTTAAGCTCTCAACAAAGGTCCATTGAAGAAGAAATCGCAGAAAATGCTTCCACCCTCACCTCGTTAATCTCTTCACTAGACCTCACATTCATAGATACCTATGTATAGCAGTGGCTTTAGAGCCTACAAACTCCTCCGTTCACTCCCTCTTCAATCACCATTCCCCATCTCTTTGTGGGTTTATTTGGCAGGAAATTTTTCCTAAAATTATTAAATTCATCCTTCGGGAACTAAGTCATGGTAGCATAACATCCATAAGAGATTCCCCACAAATGCTGTTCTCCCAGCTGGCACATTATGTGTAACAAGGACTCTGTGACACGGTCATTATTTATCTGCTCCTTCGCTTCCAAATATTGGTCCTTATATCTTAACCTACCTGTAACTGGCAATTGACCCTCCCTCCCATAAAGCATGGCGGATCTACTTTCTTCCACTTTGGTTGGTCACCCCGTTTGAGTCAGGAAAAAGGCATCACTGGTTGCCTTTTTCTTGGAAGATTTGGTTTGAAAGGAAGAATCAAACCTTCAACATCTCCTCTATATCTGATGAAACATTTGTTTCCTCCCTTTAAAAAAATATCCGACATGCAACATGACTTGCAAAAATGGGGTCTTGAGATGTTATATATATTAGTTATGGATTCTTCATGAATTAGATATCGGATGTCTGAGCATAACAATGAGAAACACCAAACTGCTTGGGAGAGAGAGAATCATCTTCCTGGAGGTTGAATCCCCAATACAGCCCAGGCTGAAGGATTACCTCAAGATCAGGACAAAGATGTGGTAGTAGTTGTGCATCAGGTGAGCCATCATCAATAGCTGGCCATAGCAGTACATGAGACACCGGTTGAGTACAGAGTTCCGGAAGGAGATAACTAGAGCTGGCCATATCAGTAAGACATGAAACATCAGGTGAGTACCTGAAGAAGTAACTAGAGCTGGTAAAGGAAATCTGTCCCACAAGAGCTGCAATAGGAGACCTTATAATGCTGGTGCCAGTTTTTCGTTATGATTTTAGTTACAGAATCCAGGAAGAGGTTCAAGTTTGAGGTAAACTAAATATCACACCTCCAGGTAATATCACAATGTTTCATCTTTTTCTCAGCATGAAGCAGGTGAAACTTGAAGTCATCTAGAGTATGGAAACTCAGTCATCTAACACCTAATCCACTGAGGAAATTGGACGAAGAGTTCCTCAAATGCGGAACTGGGTGGAGCAAGTTTTCTAGAATTGTGTTATCAACCATAAAGTGTTATACCAGTTTCAGCCTGGAATCTCCACTTACTACATGATTTTTCTTGCTGGAGGTGAAACAACACAAATAAGCTTCCAAGCAGGCAGCAATTAAGCCTTCCCAACTGCCTATCAAATTGGGGAGATATGTAGACCTCCGTCAGTCTTTGCTGATGGTTGAAGAGGTCAGACTAAAAGTGTCTCAAAAAATCTTTTTTTTTTTTTTTTTATTTGATAAGAAACAATTTCATTGATGTATGAAATTTATGAAAAAAAGGGAGAGACAGCCTCAAACCAAAGGAGTTACAATAAACATCTCCAATTGATCAAAACTGAAGAAATACTCTAAGAGGAAAAAGGTGAATTCAGCTTACACCAAGATAACGCAAGGGGGAAGATGTAGAAAAAAAAAAAGACCGAATATGTCTTTTCCTTAGACTAAAGGTTTCTTTCAATCCAAACCGACCACAAAAAAGGCTAAACAAGATTCAACCAAAGAATTTCCTTCCTATGCTCAATAGGATGGCTCGAGAGGAGGAAATTTAAGTAAGTGTTGGGGTCCTTTGGTAAGGCCGACCTCCAGTTGAAAGAAATTCTCAAAGCATTCCAAAAGAGCCGTGCAAAGTGACAACAGATAAAAATGTGGTATTGTCTCTCCAAATCAGCTTTGCTAAGGATACACCTATTAGAAGAAAGAGCCATGTGTGCAAGTTCCCAAATGAAGAGTTTTATCTTCTTTGAATAATTTCTGGATCAAATGGCCTTTGTAAAAAGGCATGGATTTTCCACGGACAAGGAGACAAGGCTGCTGAGCAGAGATTTTGTTGAGAAACTCCCATTCTTCTGAAAAGGACACATCCAAATATCTTCCTCATTGGTCAAATGGGTGCTCTATAATATGAAGCTCAAAAATCAACCCTGTCAGCAACCTCGTCTTTAAAAGAACCTTACATCGATTAAATGCACTCTTAGGGATATTTAATTGCAGAGAAATAGTTCTTCCCAGGATGCAGGTATGGATGGTAATAGACATTTTCGTAACTTTTACCTTTTTATGATTTCTACCAATCATAGGAAATTTTTGTGACTTGTTTGATTTTGGCAGCATTGTGCCTTGTAAATTACATTTATCAATAACATAGTTTATTATCTTAATATCACATCTCATGTAGATCCTTTAAGAGATATCTTTTCTCTGAATCCTATTGAAACACAAAGACTGTTACCTAGCCTGTTATGTTTCTGCCCAAAAATCAAACCATCTTGACAGTCTCTAAGACACTTCAAGTCGGAATTATGAAGTACTCTGTTTTCATAATTACCGCTCAGTCTAATAAAAAAGGGCATGTAAATAATAAGCAGCCCTAAATTATTAACCTTGAGAGGAGGTTTTGTCCCTTGTTTGGTTTCATGCCTCTCTTCGGG